CTGGCGGAGACCGTAGACTGGCCGCCGGAGACTCCACTGGGTACCAGGAGGAAAAGACCCAGTGAAGCCAGGTGGGCGGCGCAGCCAGATCTCCTCGTGCAGGCTGCCCTGCAAGAAAGCAGTGCTGAAGTCAAGAGAGTGAAGCTCGTAGTCACGGTGAGCGGCTATGTGCAGCAGTACCCGAAGAGTGGTCATCTTCGGGGTGGGAGAGAAGGTCTGAAAGTAGTCAACTCCCTGCCGCTGACTGAAGCCACGAGCCACGTAGCGCGCCTTGAAGACAGGCGGAGAACCCGGCGGCCGCTTCACCCTGAAAATCCACATGCCACTGACGATGTTCGCCCCAGGAGGGGGAACCTCGTCGACGTAGGTGCCTGTGGACTTCCAGGAAGCCATCTCTGCATCCATGGCTGCCTGCCACTGAGAGGAGTAGGGACCCTCTATCGCCTCCGCGTAAGAGCGCGGCGTCGGGATGTCTGGTGCATCCGGGTCTCCCTCAGGGGCAAGCAGCATGGACACGAGATGAGGTGAAGCAGCAGCAAAGGACTGGAACTCCTCCTGCCTATCCTCAAGGACGTCCGTGCCAAGGGCACACTCACCCCAGACGGACGGAGGACAGACAGACTCAGACTCAGCGACAAGACTAGCAGCGTAGTCTAGGCGACAGCGAGCAGCGAAGTCGACAAGCTCAGAAACTAAGGCAGACGCAGCAGCGGACTCAAAGGAAGGGTCAGTGACGACAGTAGCAAGGAGACGCGGGACAGCAGGACTGGCAGCACGAAGGGAGTCCGACTCCGGGTCAGCAAGAACAGGAAGAGAGGACTCAGGAGGAGAAGGCAAAGGGGCACGCAGCGGAGCAGTGGAGGGACGCAGAGACATCCGGTGCGTGCCGGGGACAGGGGGAGGACGCTGACGCGAACCACGACTACTAGTGCGAGCAGCACGGACAGGCGACGCAGGACGAGACGCAGGCTCACGACGCTCAGCAAGACCTCCAGTAGGACCAGTGTAGGGAGAAGGAGCAGGCAGAGGAGAGGTAGGCTGGAACTGTGACTCAGACTGGACAGGCGGTGGACACTCTAAGGGAGGAGCCGGACTAGCAGAGGGCGGAAGACCAAGAACCTGCTCAAGGAGCGGAACGAAGTACGGCCGCGGTCGCTCAGCACCACCAGCACCAGAAGGGACAGCACCAGCACCCCGAACGACAGCACCAGCGCCAGCAGCACCCCCAGCTCCAGCAGCGCCAACTCCAGTACCCTCAGAGGCACCAGCACCAGAGGCACCCTCAGCGCCAACACCCCCAGCAGCTCCAGCTCCAGCCGGACCACCAGAAGACGCAGCGGGTCCAGCTCCAGCACCCTCAGTAGCACCGACGCCCGCAGCACCACCAGCTCCAGTACGAGAAGCACCCGCAGGCCCAGCAGCTCCAGTACTCCCAGTACTCCCAGTACTAGCACCTCCGGGACCCGCGGCACCAGCACCCTCAGCAGCAGCAGAACCTCCAGCACCCGCAGCACCTCCAGCTCCAGCAGCTCACCTCCAGCGCCGGGCAAACCACTCACGCAGCTCCTGTGGAGAGAGTAGCTCCCGCCGGGACGAAGCACCCGAAGAACCTCCAGGCCCAGCACCGCCAGACGCCACACGAGCAGGTCCAGTACCCTCAGACTCCGCACCCCCAGACGCAGCACCCCCAGGCTCAGCACCCCCAGACGCAACACCCCCAGGCGTAGCACCCCCAGGCTCAGCACCCCCAGAGTCAGCACCCTCAGGCTCAGCACCCCCAGACCCAGCACCCGCAGGCTCAGCACCCCTAGCAGCACCAGAGTCAACAGCTACCTCGACAGGGTCGACTGCGTCTACCTGAGACACACCTGAGGGGGCAGGACCCTGAGGGGGGAGGGGTTCTACCGGAGGGGGACCTGGCGTAAGGAAGAGCGGCGGGGGGGGGAGGGACGCAGTGCGGTAGGGGAAGAGACGGTAGTAGGGAACCGACTCGTCAAAGGTGACGTCCTGGGAGGACAGAACACGGCGCGAGGTGGGGTGGTAGAACTGCCAGCCCGGCGCGTCAAGGGGGAAGCCAAGGAAGACGCAGGGAATAGCACGAGGGGACAGCTTGTCCGCAGACAAGTCGCGGACAAACGCCCGAGATCCCCAGACACGGAACGCAGACGCATCGCCAACCTTCCCCGTCCACAGCAAAGCAGGGGAGGTCTCCGGCATGGAGACCCGGGGCTGAAGGTTGATCTGATGCGCCGCGTACCGAACCGCAAACGGCCACAGAAAATGGGGGGCAGCCGCATGGACCATGGACGTACGAGCGACGTCCATGACCATGCCAATGCGGCGCTCAGCAATCCCATTTTGCTGCGGAGAGTCCGGAAGCGTGAAGGTCTGGCGGATGCCTCGTGCATGACAGAAGGCTCGCAGAAGGTCAGAGGAGAACTCTCCGCCTCTGTCAGAGTGCAGACGCAGAACAAGAAAGTCCGAGCCGAAACTCTCTCTGAGCTGGAGACGAGCTGCGCGGATCCAGGCGATCAACACCTCAGTGACCTCACCCTTGCTGCGCAAGGGGAAGACTGCGGTGTAACGCGGGTAGTCGTCAACCACCAGCAGGAAGTAACGCTCGTGACCCTGTCCACGGACGCGGGCTGGGCCCCACACGTCCATGTGAAGCGTCTGCAACGGAGCCTCTGTCGGAGGAAACTCGGAGGAGTGAGGAGCAGCGCGCTGCCGCCCCTCGACGCAGGGAACGCAGGTGGGGGCAGGCCCCGGAGGAAGGGGAGGGAGGGACCGGGGGAGACCAGAGACAAGGACACGGGAGGCCATGCCTCGAAGACGAGGCAGGGAGGGGTGACCAAGGCGGTGGTGCCAGAGGAGAGTCTGGTGAGACAGGAGACGACACGAGCAGGGGGCAGACTCAGGACCAGACCTGGACGCCGCAGCAAACACCTGACCCGACGCGGCTACCTGAGCAGACTCAGCGACCGGGGGAGACTCAGTAGTCAGTGTGTACAGGCTCGACCCCGGCTGACGGGTAAACGTGGCCAAGTGACGGCCCGTCCGAGCACAGGTACAGTGGGTCACTCGCTGACTCGCAGGAGTGAACTGGTGAACCCCTCCATCCTGGAGGTCAGCACCACTCACCAAGTTCGTAGAGAACGAGGGGAGGTAAAGACCCGACAGGGTGCCAGAAGGGGCCGCCGGACACGGTAGAACAGTGGAGAAGTGGGCAAGGACAGGACCCCCAGAGGGGTCTGCCAGGGAGACTGCCACTGGCCGACTAAGCGGCGTAAGCGTGGTGCGGTCTCGAAAGAAGGAGCGGGAAGCACCCGAGTCAAGGGTGAAGGTGTGGGTGGCCGGAGCCGACGCGGTACCTGAGAGCGCAGACTCACCAGCACCTGGGGCAGCAGGCTCACTGGCACCTAGAGCAGCAGCCTCACCAGCACCTAGAGCAGCAGCCTCAATGCCCGGGTCAGGCGGAAAACACCGGTAACAGTCACCCTCATCACTAATAGTCACAGCATACATCGCAGCAAGAATAGCATCATAATCAAGATCAAAGATCGCAACACCCGCCCTAAACAGCTCGCCCCAGCGAGGGATCTCAGTAGCGTCGGGGAACTGGTGACGCCAAGCGTCCGTCAGGCGGCCAAAGCAGCGCTGGGTGGAGTGCAGACCCCCACACTGCTCACCCGTGCGGTCGCCTGTACGTAGAACGTAGGTACAGGGGCCAGCACCCCAACCCCGCTGACGAGCAGTGTACCACTCACGAAGCTGCTGGGGGGAAGGGGTCTCACGAGTGCGCTGCTGCTGCTGCTGCTGGCGCTGACCACCACCGGAGCCGACCCGCTGCGAAGAGCCGCCCCGACCAGCTCCACCTCCGCCGCCGCTACCTCCACCACCGCCTCCACCTCCACCACCTCCGCTCGCACCGCCACCGCCGCCGCCTCCACCGCCTCCACTGCTGCCAATAGTGCCCCCACTCCCGCCACCACTCCCACCGCCACCCCCACCCCCTCTGCCGCCTCCACCGCCGCCTCCACCGCCCCCGCCAGCTCCTCCAGCGCCCTTGCCCCCCTTGCCCTTGCCTGAGCGGCGTCTTCCGCTAGGGGCAGACGCCGCGCCGACCGACTCAAGACAAACGAGGTCGGCCGCAGCAGCAGAGGCAACAGAGGGCAAGAGGGGGGAGGGGGAGCACCCCTCAAAGACAGGGGTACGAGGGTCACCACGAGAGGCTCCTACAGCGACTATACTCTTTTCTACTGCTAGGAGGCGCTCCTCGAGGAGGTCAACGGTGAGGGTGGTGGGGCAAACAGAGAGGAAGTGGTCCCTGACCGAGCGAAGGGTGTCAGGGAGCCGGGTGACTATGTAGTAGAGGGTGATGTACATAGGGGGGGGGTTCTTGGCGCAGAACTCAGCAGGAAGCGCAGCGCGGTAGCGAATGTCACTAGTGCGAAGGTGCGTAATGAGGTCAGCGACTGTGGGAAAAGCGGCGAGGTCAGGGAAGAGGTACGGAAGTATGAGGCGGCTAAGGGCAGCAGTGGCTGGGGAAGAGTAGCGTGCAACGACAGCGTCGTACAAGGTCTTAGCACTCTTGTACTGACTAAAATGCGCGCGCTCAGCGGTCGGTAAGTGGCGGCGCACAGCAAGGCGAGCAGCAGCATCGCGCGTGGCCCACTGTGAGCGAACAGTGGCGTCAGCATCAGCAGCAGGGGCAGGAGAGGCACCAGAGGTGAGGTCAAACAGAGAGAGACCGTCTGCCCTATCGCACTGTAGGAAAAGCTGCAGATCATCTACCCAGACCTCAAAGTCAACAGCCCGACCCTCAGCGTCAAAGGTGAGAACACTGGGGGTGGCCATGACAGCAGTAGACTGGCAGAGAGAGCAGCCACTCGTTTTTCGTTCCGCTGCCATCGTCCTCTCTGCCGCCACCTGACTCGGTCCTTCGCCAGGTTCTTAGTCTCTCGTCTTCTACTGGCCTTCCTCCTAGCTTACAGACACCCATGACCCACCTCGTTGTCGTGGCGCTCTCGCCAAGTCGCCCTCCCGTCGCTCTTCCCCTCGCCCTTGCCATCACCCACCTCGTCGCCTTCACGCTCGCCTCGAATAGCCCTCCCATCCCTTCCCGTTGCTCTCGCTCTCTCCCATCCCTTCCAGTCGCTCTCGCTCTCTCCCATCCCTTCCTGTCGATCTTGCTCTCTCCCATCCCTTCCCGTCGATCTTGCTCTCTCCCATCCCTTCCCGTCGATCTCGCTCTCTCCCATCCCTTCCCATCACTCTCGCTCTCTCCCATCCCTTCCCGTCGCTCTCGCTCTCTCCCATCCCTTCTTGTCGATCTCGCTCTCTCCCATCCCTTCCCATCGCTCTCGCATTCTCCCATCCCTTCCCGTCGCTCTCGCCTTCTCCCCTCCCATCGCCATCGCGCTCACGTTCCTCCCTCCCCTCGCCATCGCGCTCACGTTCCTCGTCTCCCGTACCATTCGTGCTCTCAAATTCTCGTCCCGTCTCCTCGCCCTCGTACTCTTTCCTCCCGTCCCTTATTGTCGCCTTGCATCGCCCTCGTGCTGTGCCCCCTGTCACTAGTGTTTGTCTCCCCTTCCCATCCTGTCTTTCCGTCTCTCCCCTCCCATCCCGTCGTTCTATCTCTCTCCCCTCCCATCCCGTCGTTCTATCTCTCTCCCCTCCCATCCCATCATTCCTCCTCTCTCCCCTTCCCATCCCGTCGTTCCGCCCCTCTCCCCTTCCCATCCCGTCGTTCCACCTCACTCCCCTCCCATCCAGTCGTTCCGCCTCTCTCCCCTTCCCATCCCATCGTTCCATCTCTCTCCCCTCCCATTCTGTCGTTACGCCCCTCTCCCCTTCCCGTCCCGTCGTTCCGTCTCTCTCCCCTCCCATCCCATCGTTCCTTCTCGTCCCGTCGTTCTTTTATTCTCAACTCCCTATTCTATCGCCTCGACTACAAGTCTAAGGAATTTTTTTCTCGCATCTCTGCTAGCTCGTCGGACAACCTTTATGGTATTCCACCATCATCTCGTGCATATGTGTGTGCGCTGGATTTTGCCAGTGTTGTTGCTTGATGTTAAGTTTGACGACCCCTTGTTCTGAATATAGAGCATTGCAAACTTGCGCCAAATTCGCACAGGCAAGTGAGTGAAAGTCGCCGCCAATCAGAATTGACAAAGAGTTCCAACTGTTCCCCGTTCACATCGCGACTCGATTGGGGGTGAAAAAAACAAAATGTATAGCACTTCAACTTCTCAAAACGTTCCAAAAAAACTTGTGTCTTCAAGTGGACCCAACTAGAAGGGGGGGGGGGTCACTATTTTAGCTACGGGCTTTAATAACTATCATAGTTCTAGTTGATAACTTAGCATAGGTTTCTCCTTACCTCTGAGTGGTAGGTACCTGACTAACGGCAGTGAAGAACCAAGCTCTGGTGGCGAGAGAAAACAGAGGCAGAAACTGTCAGAATGTTATAGTGCTTACATTTGTGTAGGCTATAGTGGGGTAGCCCATAAGGGGTACAACCCAATTAGGGTTAGTACTTGTACCCAACTGTTTCATAGTTCATTCATTCTAGTTCGTTATTCTGACATGGTTTCAGAGCAGGTCCTTCGCTTGGACCATATTTTTTCCTTGGGCCCACAACTGCGCTGCCCCACTAGCCGCCCCTAGCGACCCTCGTGCCGCACCTGCTGCCCAGCGCGCCGCCCTCGTGCGGCTTCTCGCCCCTAGCCTGGCCCGTCGCCCCTAGGCCCGTCGCTCCTAGGCCAGCCCGTCGCCCCTAGCCCAGCCCGTAGGCCCGTCGCCCCTAGGCCGGCCCGTTGCCCCTAGCCCAGCCCGTAGGCCCGTCGTCCCTAGGCCGGCCCGTCGCCCCTAGCCCGGCCCGTAGGCCCGTCGCCCCTAGACCGGCTCGTCGCCCCTAGCCCGTCGACCGTAGGCCCGTCGCCCCTAGGCCCGGCCCGTCGCCCCTAGGCCCGTCGCCCCGGCCCGTCGTCCCAGCCCGTCGCCCCAACGCCCAGACCTAAGCCCCTAGGCCAGTCGCCCCGGCCCATCGCCCGACGCCCCTACGCCCCGGCCCGTCGCTTGTCGCCCCTAGGCCTGCGCCCGTCGCCGCTTGCCCCGGCACGTCGCCCGACGCCCCTAGGCCCCGGCCCGACGCCCCGTCACCCCTAGGCCCGTCGCCCCTAGGCCCCGGCCCCGGCCCGTCGCCCGTTGCTCGTCGCCCAGCGCCCGTCGCCCAGCGCTCGTCGCCCCTAGGCCCTGGCCCGACGATCGACCCCAGGCCCTACGCGCCGCCACTTGCGGCCTGCCCCTTGACCCTGCAGCACGCGAGCCGCCCTTGCAGCCCCGCGCGCCGCCCCTAGTGGCCTTCTCGCCGCCCCTGCTACTCTGCTAGCCGCCCCTCGCGGCCCTCTCACTACCCCTTGCTACTGCCTGCCCTGTACTCTGCGCTGCCCTGATTCTACTTGCTCTGCGTGCTGCGCCACTATGGCTTCTCTCCGCGTGCTAGGGTTCGATCATGAGGGTCGCCCCCTACAGTTTGACACGTGGCTCGACGACCTGCGGCTGTACCTATTGAGCGACTCTAGGAACAGTGTTTCGTTGTTTGACCACACGCCTGGCACCGCTCCCGCCCCTCCCGCCACAGTTGACAGTGCGACCCGCCCACAGTGGCTTACTCGCGACGCTGCTGCCCGCATAGCCATTCACAACCACTTGCCGTTGGCTGAATGCGCTCACTTCGGACAGCACAGGACAGCACAGGCACTGTACGACGCTATAGTTGCTCGCTACTCTTCACCTGCCACTGCTGCTCTAGGCCGCCTCCTACTGCCCTACCTGTTCCCCGAGCTGTCCGCCTTTGCCACAGTAGCGGACCTGGTTTCCCACCTTCGCACTAGCAACGCTCACTACCGCGCTGCCCTCCCAGTAGAGTTCCTTGCCAAGAACCCACCCCCGATGTACATCACTCTTTACTTCATAGTCACCCACCTCCCCGACTCTCTTCGCGCTGTCAGGGACCACTTTCTTGCACTTGACCCCATAGCCCTCACTGTTGACCTTCTCGAGCAGCACCTCCTTGCAGCTGAGACTAGTGTAGTCGCTGTAGGTGCTGCTCGTGGCACTCCGCGCACGCCCTTCTTTGAGGGGTGCTCCCCCTCCCCCCTTGCCCCCTCCTACGCCTCTGCTGCTGCTGACGACGTCCCTAGTGTTGAGGACGTCGGGGCTGCTTCTGCTAGTGCGAAGCGCCGTAGCAGCAAGGGCAAGGGTGGCAGGGGTGGTGGCGGTGGCAGCGGGGGTGGTGGTGGGGACAGCGGTGGAGGTGGTGGAGGCAGTGGAGGTGGTGGCAGCAGTGGGAGTGGTGGCGGGAGTGGGGGCTTTGGTAGCGACGGTGGAGGCAGCGGTGGGAGTGGCGGTAGTGGCAGCGGTGGGAGTGGTGGCGGTAGGACTGGAGCTCAGCGTGGAGGTTCTCGAGGAGGCCAGAGGCAGCAGCAGCAGCGTCAGAGCGAGACCCTGTCGCCCCAGCAGCTTCGTGAGTTGTTGTTTCAGCGAGGGGCGTCTGGGGGTAGTGTTAGCTGCCCGTATGTCATTCGCATGGGTGACCGTGCTGGTCGGACATGCGGGAAGCCTCACACTCAGCATCGCTACTTCTCCCGCCTCGACGACGCTTGGCGCGCTGAGTTTGGTGACAAGTTCGAGCGCCCCCGATGGGCAGAGCTGCTTAGGTCTGGAGTTGCTATCTTTGACCTAGACTATGATGTTATCATTTCTGCTATGTATGCTTTGTCTGTTAGTGCTGAGGGTGACTGTTACCGGTGTGTACCGCCTGACCCAAGTATAGAGGCTGCTGCTCTAGGTGCTAGTGAGTCTTCTCTCCCTGGTACTGCGCCTGCTGAGGCCTTGCACACCTTCACGCTGGACTCGGGTGCCTCCCGCTGTTTCTTTCGTGACAGCACCACCCTCACTCCTCTTCTTGAACTTGTCCCGGTCAGACTGGCTGACCCCTCTGGGGGCCCAAGCGTTGCCTGTTCCTCCACTGTTCTCCTGTTTCCGGCGGTTCCGTCCGGCTCACTCTCAGGTCTTCACCTCCCCTCGTTCTCCACGAACTTGGTGAGTACAGCTGCCCTCTAGGATTCGATGGTCACTACCACCACTCCTGGGGGTCAGCGTGTGTCGATCTGCACGTGTACACGGACGGGTCGTCACCTCGCCACGTTCACTCGTCGGCAAGGGTCGAGTTTGTACACACTGGCTACCGAGCCTCCTCAGGTAGCTGCGTCTGCTCAGGTTTCCGCGTCAGGTCAGGTAGCACCCCCTTGCTCGTGTCGCCTCCTGTCGCACCAGACTCTCCTCTGGCACCTCCGCCTTGGTCACCCCTCCCTGCCACGCCTGCGTGGCATGCACTCCCGCCTCCTTGTCTCTGGTCTTCCCAGGTCTCTACCTCCCCTCCCGCCCTTGCCTGCCCCGCCCTGCCTTCCTTGCATCGAGGGGCGGCAGCGTGCCGCTCCTCACTCCTCCTCGTTTCCCCCGACGACTGCTCCCCTACAGACTCTCCAAATGGACATGTGGGGCCCAGCCCACGTCAGTGGACAGGGCCGCGAGCGCAACTTTCTGCTGGTCGTTGACGACTACACGCGGTACACCACGGTCTTCCCCTTGCGCAGCAAGGGTCAGTTCGTTGATGTCTTGATCCCTTGGATCGGTGCAGTAGGTCTCCAGCTCCGCGAGCGGTTCCACCAGCATCTTCCTGTCCTGCATCTGCACTCTAACAGAGGTGGTGAGTTCTCCTCCGACCTCTTGCGGGACTTTTGTCGTGGGGAGGGCATTCTCCAGTCGTTCACGCTTCCAGACTCCCCTCAGCAAAATGGGATTGCTGAGTGCCGTATTGGCTTAGTCACGGAGGTCGCTCGTACCTCCATGATCCATGCGGCTGCTCCCCATTTTCTGTGGTCGTTTGTGGTCCGGTACGCTGCGCATGAGCTCAACCTCTGGCCCCGTGTCTCCTTGCCGGAGACCTCGCCCACATTGCGTTGGATGGGGGAGGTTAGCGATGCGTTGGTGTTCCGGCTCTGGGGCTCTCGTGCCTTTGTTCGCGATACGTCCGTGGACAAGCTCTCCGCCCGTGCTATCCCCTGCGTCTTCCTTGGCTTTCCCCATGACGCGCCTGGCTGGCAGTTTTACCACCCCACCTCGCGCCGTTTGTTCCCCTCTCACGACATCACGTTTGACGAGTCGGTTCCCTTTTACCGTCTCTTTCCCTACCGCTCTGCCCCTCCCCCTCCCCCGCCGCTCTTCCCCGCTCCCGGTCCCCCTCCGGTAGACTCCCTCCCCCCTCAGGGTCCTGCTCCCTCAGGTGTGTCTCAGGTAGACCCTCTCCCTGGTAGTGTGCGTGGTATGGTAGTTGGAGTCTCAGGTGCTGCTCGAGGTGCTGCGTCTGGGGGTGCTGCGTCTGGGGGTGCGGAGCCTGGGGGCGCTGACTCTGAGGGTGCCGGGTCTTGGGGTGCTGAGCCTGGGGGTGCGGAGCCTGGGGGTGCTGAGCCTACGGGTGTGGAGAATGGGCGTGCTGAGCCTGAGGGTGTTGAGCCTGGGGGTGCTGAGTTTGAGGGTGCGGAGTCTGGGGGTGCTAAGCCTCGGGGTACTGCTTCGTCTGGAGGTCCTGGTGGTGCTTTGCCGCGACTGTCTCCCCGACCGGAGCCTCTCTCCCCGCAGCAGCTGCGTGAGTGGATTTTTCGGCGTGCACACCTTCGGAGTGGAGCTCCCTGAGCTGGAGCCCCTGAAGGTGTGCAAGCCGAAAAATCCACTCACGCAGCTGCTGCGGGGAGAGAGGCTCCGATCGGGGAGACAGTTGCGGCAAAGCACCAGCAGGACCTCCAGACGAAGCAGTACCCCGAGGCTCAGCACCCCCAGACTCCGCACCCTCCGACTCAGCACCCCCAGGCTCAACACCCTCAGGCTCAGCACGCCCATTCTCCACACCCGCAGGCTCAGCACCCCCAGGCTCCGCACCCCCAGGCTCAGCACCCCCAGACTCGGCACCCTCAGACTCAGTGCCCCCAGGCTCCGCACCCCCAGA